TAAAGAAATTGATACAGTGACAGAAGAATTCCCTTTTCAGGCTGCTCATGAATATGTAAGGTTCCTGACCACACATTGTAAGTAAAGAGCTGTGGACACAATGATCATGCACAGACTTTCCTTGACTTATCTCTTTAAAAGAGGCCAAAATGGGTGTCTGTTTACCTGCCAGACGCCAGGCTGTGCAACGGCTGGTGTTCTTCAACAGTAGGTATTGCAGATTGTTAAAAAAGAAGCTGTTCATGGGCCAAACTCTTGTGTGTTAAATTCAGCTTGAAGCTGTTTTATAACCCTTTCCAGGCACTCATCACTGGTGGAGGGCAGATAAGAACCAATCAAAATATTTTTCCTCCAATGACAGCGTTGTTTTCACCAGTAGTACTAAAAGCAGAGCCAAGTTTTGGAGTTGCATTAAAAAGAAACGTAAAGGAGTTGCTATGAAAAAAACCTCAGTTTGGTTTATCTGTTTAGACAGGTCTTGCCAATCAAAAGTCAGCCTTAATGGACAACTCAGAACAATACAAAACACAAAAAGCTGTAACAATCTTTCACAAATCAAGAACACATTATCAAATAAACTTCTACATTTTACAACACTTGCAGCATGGTGGTGCAGTGTGAAGCTCTATCACTTTACAGCTCAGGGTCCTGGGTTCAAAACCAGCTCTGTGTGGAGCCTGCAAGTTCTTTGTTTGTATGGGTTTCCTCCTACATTTCAAAGACTTATTGCATAGTTTATCTGGTATCTCTAAATTGCACCCTGTGTGTGTGTGTGCCCTGCATTGGTTTTGCTATTTGTCCAGTGCATAGTCCCACCTTGTGACCTCTGCCTGCTGGTTAGACTCTGGCTCACTTCAAACATCTAAGGATATAGTTGTCACTGAGAAAGGACAGATGAAGTATTCAAGTCCTCTGTAAGTCAGAATTAACAATAAATTGGGAATTATTGCCTTTCCATGCTGGGTTAATTTCACAGCCAGTTAAAAGAATGCCACTTATTTTAATTGACACTACAAGGTGGTACAGAATAAAACAGTGTAGCTGGATAACAGATAAACTTTATGAGAGCTCAAAGAAAGAATAACTTCCCTTTTTCTTTATTATATACTACATTAATTTTAAAAGTAGATAAAAACATTGAGAATACTTAAAAGAATGGATTAGAAAAAAGGTACTTGCTAAACAAAATAAACAAGTACCCTTTGATGTGGTGTTTTGTCATTTATGACTACCGTATTTAGTATAGTATATTTAGTTAAAATTACTTTATGCATTACTTTAATGGAACAATCGCCAATATTAGGAAGCCAATCATAACAAAATGCTGCATCCAGTATGAGAAATGCTACTACTGTATGTCCCTACTGCCTGCTAATAATAAGGCTATCACTGAAACTGTCTGCATAGCTAAATCTCCAGGCATTATCTAGAATAATTGCCCAAACCAACTGACAACATTTAGCTTAGATCTCATACCAACTAGAACATTAAAAGACTTTATACATTTGCCCATGTAACAAAGCTCATGCACTCAGCCAGTCACTGAAGTGACGTAATCCTCCTCAGAAATCTAGACAGTGCAAAACTCTGGGATGGCAGTCTTGTGGTGCAGCGGAATTCTCTGCTGGCTAGAGAATAATGTTATATGGCTCTGGGCTCACTAGCACCATGTGTTGCCTTCTGGTTCAAATTGTAAAAAAAAAAACCTTACACTCAGACAAACGATGTTTGTTCATATTTTATCAAGGTACATATAGAGTACAGAACAGCTCTGTCCTTGGACTAAAACTATTTTCCCTATAGGTGCTTCTACTAGATGACATAATCAGAAAACAATGTATTGTAAACTTTCAGTCATGCCTCCTCAGCCATAAACAATCTATCCACCTGTATTCCTGACAGGATTCTTTTAAATTCAGAAAAAATCAGATTTTACTAATATGAAGGAAGAACCTTGTCTTAACTGTTGTGAGTGAGTAGAGAAACCAGCCTCACCAAGGTACATTGTGGCAAATGGTATTAATGCCCTCAAGGCTTGTTTTTGATAGGTCTAGGTGTTCTTGGATTACTTACACTCAGAAATCTGCAGTCTCTAATTAAATATCAACTAAACTGTAACAGCTGTGAAATGATCGCTTTGGACTGGGACTGAAATGTCAAATGGATTTCCTATCCAGAGACGTCCACTGTAGTAAAGTATTTCCACAGCTGATTGAGGTGATCGAGATGTTCAGTTATGAGGCTTTTTAAATGCTTTTTTAAGAGGATTTTGCTTGTTGCAGTGAATTCTGTCAGCATTAAAAAGCACTGAAGGGGATTTTGTTGGACTCAGATACCCGAGAAGTTCCGTTTTTTTTAATCATTGCTTCTACTTTGTCATGCATTTTGAACACTGTGATGGCAATGCCCTGGACACTTAAGTTCATTTCATTCCCACCCGAAAATAGTCTGCCAGATCTGCTAGTTTCTGTAGCCAGTCTTCTTTATGCAAGCAAGATGAGAACTCAGATGGGATGGCCATAAAGATTTGCTGAACTTCACTTCACTTCACATTTCAGTTAAAAAAAAACACTTCAAGGTGTTGTAAAATCCTTTAATTCAGTGGGTGAGCTTCAGTGAAGTTAACTATTTTCACAGAATCATTCAGTACTGACAGGAGTTCTCCTGGCATAATTTAAGGGCCTCTCAATTAATATACAGTATACCTAGGAAGCCAGTGGAGCAACCTTCTTGATGTGAGCTACCACTCCTCTATGTTTTTCCATCATCACTGATGCAATTGTCATTGACAATCAAAGTCCCACACAAGCGTGCCCAGTCAATTTCATTGGCTTTTGTGAAAATGTCAGTTAAATTAAAAATATATCCCCCGTTGCATGGGTGAGAAGGGGTAGACAAAACCAAAAATCCTCACATTCTGTATCCTCAAATAAGTAATGAACGCAAACCAAAAGATATGCCAGATTTGCAACGTCTGTCGGCTTGCATTAATTGTTTCTTTGCCACACAGGTACTCAGCGACGAACATTCAGCTATGTCCAATATCCCCAAAACCCCAAGTAATCAAGGAAACTAACAAAGGCTATTGTGTTGACCAAACCCAACCTTTTTTCACAATCTCTTTATTTTGTATCTCTCCCCTTGTTTGTTTTACCTTATCTATGCGGAACATCCATTGTGACAAAACAGGAGTACTTCAACTATAATTTACAGTACCTCAAAGAACTGTGTCAATGCTCCAGAAAATCTAATTTTTTTATTTAGTTTGAAAACTGCTTAATTAAGTGTATAATTTTAAAAGGCTGCTAAGTGTTAGAGTGTATCTTATCATGTAATTCATGTATAACTGTGATCTTCCATTCAGTTCCTGTATTACACTTTCTCATATTCTATTTTCTCACTGCCTGGATGGATCCCAGTGCTGGGATCAGATGGTAAGCACACATGTCCTGATGGCCAAGGACATCAGAACCTGGAACAGCAGATTCACAATAGCAGACCCAGGAATCTTCAGCTAACTTACTTGGATAACCATGGCGACAGAAACCGGAGAGCAGGATATCAGCCAAGACCCCAAAAAAATAAATCCCAAGAAGTTTATTTTCTCCCTCTGAGAATTTTTTATCCTATTCTCTGCACCCAGTGGTCAATTGTTATTATTGTGTTAACTGGTACATAAGTCTGTAAAGGGATCTGTAGCAAAGTATTGCAAAGGGAGTTATAGCAAATAAAATAATTTATTGATTGATATTTAATCCTATTTTATCCTGTTTACTACATTGAGAAGCCATCAAATGTTTAGTTGCTTGTCATTTGAAATTCTCTAATTAATCTTTTACAGTTGAAAAAATTGGTCTTTCTTCAACTGCTCATGTGTGGGATTACAGTGTGGCAGCAGCTCGTTGTCTGACCGGAAGGCGTTACAGGGGGTGATCAGGTCAGCCCAGTCCATCATTGGAGTACAGCTCCCCTCTATTTTGGACATTTTTACAACTCGCTGTCTCAGGAAGGCTAGAAGTATCGCTAAGGATACCAGTCATCCTGGTTTCTCATTTTTCTCCCCCCTTCCCTCTGGTAAGCGTTATAGGAGCATAAAGGCACGAACTTCCAGATTCAGAGACAGTTTCTTCCCACAAACTGTCAGATTACTGAACTCTACCCCTACCACTGGCTCACACTGATGTTGTATGTTATTTAACTTGTTGATGCTGCTGTTGTTCTGTGTTTATGTTTTTTTTTGTTGGTGTTTCCTTAATGTCTTTGTATTAAAGCATAGTTGCAAATAAGAATTTAATTGCACTTGTGCATATGGCAATAAACTGAAATGAACCAAACGTCCTAAACAACTTCATAGATTACTGAAATAACATAGAAAAAACAGAAAATTAATAACATGGTGCAAAAACACTTAAAATCTGGGAAGGTCTGCTCTGAGATTAGACAAGCTCTGAAAAAATGTGCATAAGTATAAGATGAAATCAGTCAGAACTTGTCAGACACATTGAAGTGACTATTCCTGTCCCCGCCATCTTGAAAATGCCTAATTCATATTCTCTATTGTATCTTTGAACAGATTCACTTTTGTTTCACAGAAAATAAAATGTTATGTTATACTAAAGACTTTGACAAAGCTGCTCTGATGTCCTTGGCTACCTGTATCAGACTGCAGCTGCTTTAATCACACAGACTGCATCTGATTGAGTCAAACAGTGATTAAAATATTGTGTAACATTTTACACAGGTCTAACACAGCACACAGGCTGGCACACGTTAATGAATGTTAGATTCTAATTTGTATTTCAATGTAATGGTAGCTCCTGGTATATCAGACTTTGTTCTTTTTTGTCTAGCTTTTATTTTTTCATTGGTCCCATCTTTATCAGATCAAAAGTGAGAGCTTCTTTAACGCACAATATATTTCCTTTCTCTGACACTTAAAACACCATGCAAAACTGCTAATAAACCATTTGCAAGACAGTAGTTCAAAAGACACCACTCACCTGCTTTCTGGCACTGCATTATCTTTTCATATACCCCATCAGCATTTTCAATTAGAGACTTGCTCGTCTGAATCATCTGCAAAAGAAATTTAAATATACAGTAATTATCTTGGGGTTTGATTTATTTTGAAAATGTGTTTAGGAAACATGAGGAATGGAAAATTATCAATGTCTGTTTTGAAGGAAATTGAAAAACCACTTCAACTGATCTACCCAGAGGGTGTAGTTGGTGATCCATAGATTTGGGTTCACAATCCACGCTATATTTGAACTACTCAGTAAAATACAAAAACAGTAACCTCATGGTGGTTATATTTTTATTAAATGTGTAAAAAGTTATTTCCTCCATTTCATAAAAGTTGTTTATTAGTATAAGTTACATCTTTTTTTTTACTTTTTTTGTGTTGCACATAAACTAAAAATCTTTCATTTTCTCTCCTTGCTTTTAAACATGACTATTTCACTGTAAATGTGGTTATTTCAATAATATAAACAGCAATAAGCACAGCTTGCCTAATGATCTGCTGTCTTAACTGAATTAGTTAAGATTACCATGACACATTATGAGATAGTTTTCAGATGAGTCTTTGAGTCTACTGCTTATTCTAAGAATAACTTTGCATCCTTGACAGATTCCTCTGAGGGAAATCACTTTGCAACCTTGACAGATTCCTACTCAAATTATTTAATGGCTGGACTTATTATCCCAGACAACTTTATGACACAAGATTTAATCCTAACATGCTGATGTGAGCTATAATAAATAACCATCTTCTAAATATTAGAATTTAAACATACTGTATACAAAAGTTATTTATATAAGACAGTGAGGTAGGCTAGCCCTCAATGTGATGACCTATGTCAAAGAGAATGATCATCAAACAGCTTCCAGCTTGGATTCTGCCTGAGGGGAACTGGTAGATGGAGCTCAGTCTAGCTAGGTCAGCCTCTGTGTTTCATGCTACTGTAACAACAGGTAGACAAGAAATTTAGTGAAACCCATTTGGTTTTGTCAAAGTTTACTAAAAGAGAGGATAGTATTCTCAAAGTAAATCGGGTACCTGGCTGTGTGAGGGATGAGCTTCATCCAGGATGTTAACTACAGATGACCTTCATTAAATATAAATGGCTGCAAAAATAGTAACTGCTAATATATCTTCCTTTCCTGCATAACAGACTACAGATACAAAAAGTCAATAGAAACTACATTTCAGTTACAACGCTGAATAGGATATAGCCACAATTAGCCCCATCTGAATCACACAGCAGAGCTGGGTTTCCTCCTTGTATCACACCTTGTTTTCTGTTTCTTGACACAGATTTGAAAACAGACACTGTAAGCAAAGATGGAGGATTTAAAATGAATACATTTCAACAGTTTTTTTTTTTAAACTGTCCAGCTGAACACAAATCAACTTCACCCTGAACCACTGTCACAGGATTACAGCATACTTTAGTTTAAGGTGTTACATGTAATCCTGTTAAGTCATATGAATTATACTTAAATCTTGGTTACAAACACTTAAGTCTTTCAAAATCATAGAGGTAATCTTAAATTATTTACTTAAATGTTGTTATTCACTAGAATGTTATTTTAATTCTGTAGTAACAAATATTATGTTTGCATAAAACCCACATAATAAAACAACATACAGTACGATTAAATGTTGAGCTCTATTTTGCTCTGTTGTTTAACCCTGTTGAGTTATAAAAATTCAATGGTTATTCACAAAACAACAATTCAATGGCAATCTGAATGCTGTTGTGGGCTGAACTCAAAATTGCCTGTAATATATCTTTGCATTTTCCCCAGAGTTGCTGAAATTAGGCAAGTTCTTCTGCATTTAAAAATGAACTGTTCTGTGGGGCCTACTGAGTGTCTCCTGAGTCTTAAGATGTGACATAGATGAATGTAATTGGGATTTGCCAAACAGCAATGCACAAGTTCTCACTGTCAAAGTAGAGCAGGCTTGATTCCAGGGTTCAATGGCTCATTTTGTAATGTAAGAACAAATAAAAACAAAACAACATTTCAACACCTGCAAAAATATATACCCCCAGTAGAACTCCCTTGAATCTTCCAATATTGACCCAATATTGACCCATACATTTTGGTTGTATTATAAATAAAAATAAAAAGGGGGTGAATAACAAAACTAATAGAAAAAGGGTACCAAAAGGGCAACAGAAACGCTAACTTTGGGAAATCACTCTGGTATCCTGGTTGAGTGATTGGGCTGTTTCTTCTACAGACACAAAATGGTAACTAATATTATACTAAAGCACAACACAACCTGACCCGGTAATGGAATCTTGTGATTGATTGTCAACCTTGAAAAAACTAGTCATATGTGCAGTGGTAGACTATTTGCAGTTTTGTATGTCTTGAATGAGAGCTGCCCCAATTTTTGGCTGAGTTGGACTTGTAATGGATGCAAAAGACGAAGACTCCACTGTATGAATCATTGACACAATACTCAAAAAGTAATTTGACTCTGTCGTGTCTATAAATATAAATAAATGCTCTAGCACTGTCTCTGTAATTAAATCACAGTTCTGATGACAAATGAAGAATTTATTAATTATGTTTTCCTTTTGGCCAACTGATGATTTGGCAAGCAGAAAATCACTCCACACGTTGACTGAGTTTAAATTATTTTCTATGAATTTGTTGTTAAACTGTTCCTATACATCTTGGGGGCACTGGAGAAGGGTGGAGGAGTATAAGCAGCGACCCTCTTGACATCGCTGTTCTTTCTGCTTAGATTAATCAGGTAGAATAGGGGAGGAAAGGTGTAAAGAGGTGGGACGGTGGGAAGAGGCATGTTCACATTTACGCACTTGAATGCGGACAGTAGGTCCAGCTCCTGAACTTGCAAAATAAAAACCTCCAAAGATAGGGTAGAAAAGGGAAGGAGAGTTAGATGATCCTTAAGTTCCTCAGATAAGCCCCTTCTGAATTGGAAAATTTAGGCTTCATCATTCCAGGACAGGTCCACGTCCATGGTCCAAAAATCAATAAATGTATGTAATCTTGGAGGCGTCTGTTTCCTTGAGTCAGAGCAGCTCACCGGAGAGCCGTAAGATGAGCTGATGAGGCTTGGGTGAAGACGGGAGACTTGCCCGTCCGGAAAGGAGAGAGATGATGAAAGTAATTCTTTCCCCATCAGAAGGAAAACAGTCTGGGTGTAGTTGGAAGAGGAGACAGCACTGGGTCAGGAAGCCATGGCACTTGATTGGATCACCGTTAAACATATATATGGTCGGAGAGTTGCCGCACTGTGTAATGGAGTTGCGTCAAGGCAGAAGAGTAGAAACCGCATGATCCATGCTTTGGCCCAGTGATTCCGTAGCAAATTCGTGAAAAAAGATAGAATTGTATGCAGGGCTTTTCGGAAGGTTGACTAGCCAAATCTTCAGGATGAGAATCAAGGACGGTACGGAAGCGTACGTCAAGTATGCAAACTTGAATATTGCAAAGCGCGAGTACTAGAGTGAGCTCTAAAAGACGTATCTCAGTCACTGAGCAGGAAGGTGAGTATGAGAGGATCTTAAATAGGAAAGGTGCATTACCAGGGAAAAGCGGGGTTGGATAATTAGGGCAGGCGTGGACGTTTGTGATAATCAGTGCACATGTGAATGCCGTGTCTTTCATGGGAGTGTGTGGAATGTAATTGTGTGATTCGGTGCACGTGGGAATGTGTGCTGAAGCCGTGGGAGGCGTGACAGGAAAAGACTGTGATGTTGACACATCATTTTCATCTTCTAGACAAAGTAAGGCAGCAAGAATATAAATCAATGATTTCAGTACAGATATATGTGTTACGCATTCCGCACGTGTCTTTGACCCATCTTGTATTCCCATGCGCACTGTGTTTAACAAACGCTCACGCCGCAAGTAAAGTACCTATCACCGTTCACTCCCGTCACTAGTTCAGTTCCCCCTTTTCCTTACTTCCCCGCTCACTATTGTCGATTCTCCTCGAGCTCCCAAGTGCATGTAATTTACTCTTGCTGTCCAATTGGTATCAGACTTTCTTGCCTGCCCCCTCATTTACAGTACGATTTAGTCTTGTGATTCTGATTGTTACTCTCCTGCTGTCTCAACCGTTATCAGACCTTCTTGCCTGTTTCCTGGATTGCGTTTTAGCCTTGTGATTTGGATTGGAATTCTCTCTTTCTTCTAAGTCCTGCACAGTCTGTACTCCCTTTCCTGCCTCCTGTTACAATATGGTTATACTGTATATACAGTAATACAGATACTGTACAGTATATAGAAAAATACTTGCTTTATATTTTTTCTTTCTTATCATTATTACATATATTTATTACCCTGGCACAAACTGAAAGATACAGACAGTACTGAGTGATATACAGTACCTTGCAAACTATTCAGACCCTTGCACAATTTTCACATTTTGTGCTTTATTAAAGCTTGCTGTCAATATTTGTTATTCACCCAACCTACTCCACACATTCAAAGTAAAAACAAAAATGTAAATAGGTAATTAATATGAATAAAAGTACAAATCTGAACATCTGGCTGTGGCAAACCTTATTTAGTTTAGGTCCACAAATTAAATGTAATGTGCCACATGATTAGTTAAGAGATCTCTGTCAGTGTACAATAATAGTAATTCAAATTATTTCACAATAAATGAAC